GTGTTGAGTTTTCTGGGTGGACTAAGTGCAATTATGTCAAAACCGGGCAATTCATTCACATCCGAGCCCCAGATTTCTGACATTATGGAAATATCACTGCTATTAAATTGATTAAGAAAATCACTGTTATGTAATTTGTGACCAAACACCGAATTTTTGCCCAATCCATTAATGTTCCAACAACTGAGTTTCAAACAGTTTGTTGAACGAACTGATAACTGCCGAAGAAAACACATTAATTGAGATCAATAAAAAGTCAGTTGTTTTACACTCTCAGGGGGATAGTTCGTGTATTGACCCAGAAAAATTTTGCGGGGCATTCCGCATGCAGGACTTTGAAGCACTGGATATTCTGCTCATTTCAATCGAGTACATGCGGTTTGACAAGGTAAAAATATGCTGCTTTGGACTTCATACATGCATCCTGAGCTCTCGAGTAAAGCGAGCTTGATAACCAGCAAAAATAAATGTTAAAATGAAATTGGACTGGCTACTGCCTAAACTGCAGGGAGACTAGGATTGCAACATATACTAGTTATGTAACGCTTTCAAATGGCATACCATGGAAATTTTGCCTTCACTACAGAACCGAACAAACTCGTCACACTCAAAGGCTATGAGGCATGGGCGCGGCCCAAGGACCGTGTACCAAATGCAGTGGCATCACCTTTGGGGTTTTAAGGATATTCAATAAACAACGGAATGAAAGAAAAATAAGATAACGCTGTTTACACAACACTAGCAAAAAAAAAAAACCTTATCCGAAAGTGCTAGTGGCAAGACTGACCGTAGAATGTCACAAGTTTCTCAGGTCTCTTTTTATTTTTAATTTGTTTTTTACGTACTAACCATGACCCTTCGCGCACTACGCTCGCACCCAGTTCTCTGTTACGTGTCACCAAACTACTAGCCTCTAAAGTGGGCGGGTATACGAAGAACCCACAAGTGATCAGTGCGATATTCCATGTCAATATTACAAACTGGGTCATTGGATAATACAATTGAATAGTTTTCATTGGCTTTATTAGCCATCATGGTATATGAGCCATTGTAACGTGCGTTACAAATATGGTAAGCACACGCGTAATATTTGGGGGTGTTTTTATTTTTATTTTAGTTTTCTATACTTCGGGGGTGTTTTTAAGAAAACAATAACATTATTCATAATGTTCTCTTTGATTTTAAAAATAATTTCTATTTACAAGGCTAAAGAAGGTTAAAAAGTAGAAAACACCGAAAGTTTTGGACACCAGGTCATCACCCTGATGATGACCTAGTGCCCCTGTCCCGCCCCGAGCGCTTCGCTCCCCGAATTCTTCTGTTTCGCGCTCGCCGAAATTTTTTCCGTCCTCGCCAGGAGCCTGTTCGCATGCTAAAGTAGAGTCTACAGGACGCACCAGCTACTTTATAGGTGCACCAAGAAAACAAAATAACAAAGTAAAAATGTCTGTACAATTGGGTATAAATATTAAACTTAACTATCTAAGAATATATAACTAGACTATAAAAGGTCTAAGAATACTGTAGGTTGGGTACAAGCACAATTTTACATAGAAAATACATTGCCCAACACCATCAATGCAGCGCACAGTGGGAAAGTTGGGAGTAATATCATAGAGTATACAACTGCATTCCTGTAGAAATTTCTGATTGGCTGGTTTTTTTTTCAACTGATAACATGTTATATGTCAGCATTAGCTATGGGTAACAGCTGTAGAAGTGACCTTGACGTTTTGGAACACGGAACTAGAAAATGAAATGTTAACCCCTCTGCAATGGTCACCTGGGGACAGAGGAAAATGGCCATTGTAGGAAGGTGGCCAGCCATTATGGAGAGGTAGGGGTGTAATATAACACCTGTTTTTCTTTGGGTGCGTGTGAGGATACAACACATTTATCTTAAAAAATGCTAATTGTAGCATGAATTTATACACAACACAATCAAAATAATTATATCAACAACAAGAGCAACAAGAAGCTTTATTTTCCCCATTTTATTTCCCCCATTTCATCCTATTTACATTATTACAGATATTATATTTTCACTACAGTAGAACTCCACCTTACAGTCACCACATAAATACGGCCACCTCGCTATTTAACGTCCCCTTTATTGTGGCCTGACCAAAAGCTCAGTCAGTCATTTTCTTATTTAATAAGCCTGTTTAATATGGCTTCCCCGTTAATACGAGCACATTTTTGTGGCTCATATATTGGTGACTGCATTAACGGGACTAAAGAGAAAGGGGGTTCTGCCTACCTGAAATAACTAGAGAAACAGACCAAAGTAGAAACCAAACAGTGACCACAATGTAACTTTGAAAGTACAAAAAGTGAATAGAAATAATTTTCAATCATAAGATGTAAAAAAGCTAAGTATCAACCTAAGTACTGTCCTAAGTACAAAATGTAAGCTAAACCATTTCTTGAATCAGTGCTGTTCTCAGACAAACTGGAGTGCTAATCTCAGATGAACACTAAAGGACAAGAAATATTGTAGCTATGTAAAAATTTGAACATGATAACATTTATATATTAAAAAAAGCAAACTCGATTATATAGAGCATTTTCATATAAAAGCCATTAATACAGAAGAATTCATTTTTCAAAGGAGAAAAATTTCATTATTTAGGAACACTAATATGGTCCCTGTGAAAACATCATGAGGTCATGGTCAATCTCAGCTATGGTTTTTGCAGTCAATGGACTAAATTGCCTCTGGTCTTCACTCGGTCAATTCCTAATCACGCCACGGTGTCCAAACGCCTCCATGAGCATTTGGGTCAGCAGCTTCATCTCTGGGTTTATTTCTTGGTGGAACCATGGTCTGCTTGTAATTTTCCAACACACTCAGCAACTTTTTCATTACATCCGGGTATTTCTCTGCAACATTGTAGTACTCACAAGGATCATCTTCAATGTTGAACAGGCATGGCTTCTCTCTGCACTCCGCTGGCATGACCGGGGGCTCCCCAGAGCACTTAACGACTGCATTCTTCAGGGGTGTATTACCAAAGGACCTACTGGACTCTACAAGTCCAGGAGGACGATACCAACCACTTAGTGCAGTACCTAATAAAATAAAGACAAATGAGAAATGAGGTGTGGTGGAGTAGTACTTACATTGTGACTTATTTTCGTAGGAACTTAATTTCCTGAAAATAGAATGGGTGTATTTTGCAGGATTTAAATTTTATTTTTTGGTCAAAAAAAAAATGTTACCAGAGATCCAAATTTCACTAAAGTTCTCAAGATACTGATCTTCATCAACAAACAGTTAGTCTCAGTGTATTGGCACAACTGATTTTAATTTTCCATAGCTGCAATAGTTTCCAATGACTCTGAACAAAACTATATATCAAAGCGAAACTGAAAACATTTTGACATGTTCCTTTGCAACAAAGCAGCTCAGCTATACAGAGTACATGACAACGTCAATTTGCACCTACAGCTGAAGGACAATGTATAACTTTCTTCAAATGGATCAGCGGATGATAAGTTTCACAAAAATAAGTAACAGTAAGGAAGCTTATGTGCTGTCCTTTGGACCCAGAGGTCTGGGTTCAAGCATGTAAGCTAAGTTATACACTCCAGTATGGAAAAAATAATAAAACAAAAAAAACGAACATAAAACACTCAGTAACCGGCTGTGACAGAATTACTGAATTGAAGGTGAACATTACTTGTATTTATCAATTTCCACTGCTGAAAACGAAGCGCAGCATTGTTGCCATCGATATTGATTAATATTTCGGAGCGAGGATTCTGTTCTCCATGAGCCAGGGTGGGCCACATGTCGAAACCATCCAGATTTTTCAGCTTGGTAGTGTTCCCTCCTGCCAGCTTGTAGAGTGTTGGGACCCAGTCTGTAGCGTGCATCATGTCCATGCTTACTCGGCCTTTGGTACCCAGCAAGGGACTGTGAACTAGCGCCACACCGCGCACTCCACCTAAAGAGAAACAGAGAGAGGTATTAGGGGAAATAGGTAAGCCCCTAGGCTGGACAAATCACTGTCAAATATCTTTGAGAGGCAAATTTCGTCATCAATACCCATAAATGACCACTATTCTGCCTCAGTGTGAAAGAACATTTGAAATACACTTGTTACTCCCTCAATGGTACATCCCTCGCAAAGATTTCGCTGTTGGCCCATCCAGTTATGCAATACAGTTGAAATATCCTTCACACATGGGTGGTAGTTATTAATGACTGAAAAATTGTATTCATTTGATTTCACAGTTTCAAAGTATGGGATCAAGTAAGGCTTCTCTAGTCAGTTAATAAATTTGGCTCAGTTGAATGCGCTTTGTAATGTTGTGTTCTTGCTCTCTTTAAAGCTAGTTTACACTTTGAAACCCATCCTCGGAGACCCAGGGGCTGCCAGTCAGGACGATGCAATATTTTCGGGGGAGCGATATTTGCGGGTGAGTGATATTTTTGGGCAAAAGTTTACTTCAAGAGCAGATAAGCCCCTGGGCACTTATTCTTACCAAACCAGTTCCAGAAGTGTTTGAATTCTGTCCTGCTGATTGGCCAGAAAAATATTTTTTTGGAAATCACGTACATTAGCGTATATTAGAAATTGCGTACACTAGCAATATAAATTTACCATATACCTTCGATAAGTCTGCTGTGAAAATTGATCAATGAATATTGTTCCCTTGTGTCCCTGTTACAGCTTGTGATTTCAACGGCTTCATTGAATCTTTTTTTCTGAAACTCTCCATGAGAATCGTCCCGGGCCAAGCAACTACCGGGATCAATGAGGAAAATCACTTCGTTTAAGAAGGCGACAGAGTCACCTGGCTGAACTTCCTCCCTGATTGGCCAGAAATGCCCTGGGGCTTGTCTGCTCTTGAAGAAAACTTTCACCCAAAAATATCGCTTGCCTGAAAATAATGCATCGTCCCGACTAGCAGCCCCTGGGTCTCTGAGGATGTTTGAAACCCAGCTGTATTAAGATTTAAAATGACAGCCCATAATTATTTACAGTATCAACAAAGCAAAGCACCTTCCCAAAGTGTGGTTTTCATTCCTCTCAATGGATAATTACAGGCACTGTTGCCATCAAGACCAGCCGCGGGTCCTCCATTATCAGTAGAGAAGATTATCACTGAGTTGTTGTACATGTTACGAGCTTTCAGAGCATCTACAACCTGAAATAGCACAACAAAAAATGCAGTTACGGTGCATGTTGCTCCTTGATTGGAGCAAGCATGCGAACATGGGTTTAGATTTTTAGGCTACTTGTCCAGAACAAAAAAAAAATAATCCAAATCATAACCATAAATCCCTGGTGACAGGTGAAAGTCTGCTTACGAGCCAAGTGGCTCATCATGCCGGAGCTTATCCCGGTTTCAGCAGCATGAAGCAACTAAGAATATTTCTACTCCCCCCTGGATGGGATGCTAGTCCATTGCAGGGTTAACCCCCAGCATTAAATTCGCCGGTACCCATTTATACACCTGGGTGGGGAGAGACACTGTTAGAGTTAAGTGTCTTGCCTGAGAACACAACACAATGCCCCTGGCCAGGGCTTCAACCCAGACCGCTTGCTCCGGATTCGAGCATACTAACCATGAGGCCACCTAGCCTCCCACTTTTAAACCACTACAGAATTCTCAAGTATTTCTGCTTACACTGTACCGATATTAACAAAATCCCAGGTGATACTGATCTTTAATTAGGTTACTTGTGTTAGCATAAAGCAGTACTAAACACTTTTTGACACCATGTTTTGCAATACCTTGCCTACAGATTGATCCAACACTGTTGCCATGGCAGCAAATATCCTTCTTCGTTCATCTTTAATATGTTTAAATCTGTTAATTACATCCTTTGGTGCCTGGATAGATTGATGGCTGTTGGCGTTGTGCACAGCTTGGTGAGCAAGATACATAAACATCGGCTTGGAAGTGTCATGCGCGTTAATGACATCCACAGCCTGCTCAGCAAAAAGGTCCGTTCCGTAGTGACCCCACTCATCCCGAACAGGCTAGACAGAAGAATTTAATATATAATATGTTACTTGATTATTCTCGCATTTTACTTACTTACTTTGTATGATCAATAATTAAAGAACAGATATCAAGATGAAATCATCAACATTTTTTGTTTCTTTATCATAATATATACTGCACATTGTAAAACAAATAAATGTTATGTTGCTGTGTCTGCTCAACTAACTGATCATAGAATATGTCATGAACATGGTAAGAACATCAGTGACACACTCCGCTATCACCTCGTATGCCACTTTTTTTTTCTTACCACATTTTGGTAATGGCCATCTGTGATTGATTACTGAACAGATGTATGGCAATGTAGTAAACTGACATGACTCAAAATATGGTCCAACTAAATTCTTATAGAGAAGATATGAATTTACATGCATTAAATTTTTACAAATTATTACATTTTTTAAAATCTTTTTGTTATTCAAATTTAAAGACCATGAAACAAAACTGTTACAGCTCATTGTTTCAGGCGCCAATAGTTCTTCCACTGGTTAGACATAAATAAATAACAATTGGTGACGTCACCAATATCTTTGCTACCGCAACTCTCTAACTGGGTTTTGATAATACTGATAGAATTATGTTACATGGTTTGTCATGCAGTCTGAGCAAGCATTTGATAAGAAAACAATTCCACAAAAATCTTGAATCCCTAAGTTAACTGAGATATTTGTGACTTCGTAACTACAGGTTCAAACCTAAGCATAGTTAAGATATATAGTTTTTCTCTAATCAGTAATGAGATAACTATCTCGAAAACAAGCCAGTTAAGATGGGAATGGAAAGAGTAATGGGGCTCAAAACGACTTGGGAAATGAAGGAAATCAAAATGGGGAGAATCAAGTACACCACTGGAAAATGATATAAACTTTTTGTACCGTGGTGTTGTTGCGAAGGTCCAACCCCCAGAAGCCCTCTTCAGCTTGGGAATGGTCCCAGTAGTCATTTTTACCACTCCAAAATCCAAAGAAGGAATCAAAGCCTCTGCTGGTTGGAATGTAGGCACTCTTGAAAAACCCGAGATGCCACTGAAAGTAGACAAGAGCTGCATGTTAACTGATACTCTTAAGGAACTGAAGTGCAAAGTAGCCTTGACTCTTTTAGAGCTGCTTTTGAATATGGGCTCAAATACAAGTCATTAAATATTCACCTTTGTGACATTAATAAATCAATTAATTAATTAATTAACTACCTTCAATGAACAGTGACTAGGAAATTGCCTGACATCGATTGTCAATATAGTTTTCAGTTTTGTGTTGTTGAGAATAGAGTTCAAAAAGAGACTTGCACATACATGTGGGCCAGTTTAATTTATCAAGTGTCACCACAATCTGCGTCAATATTTTACCTTTCCAATAGCATGTGTTTGATAGCCTTGCTCTTTCAGATACTGAGGTAGAAACACCTCATCAAGACCAACTCCATATGGTAGAGCAGCAAAAATCACTGAATGTTGCATACCTTAAAAGCCAAAACAAAAAGGCACATGACAAGGTGTAGTTGTCATTCTGGGCCCTTGGCCATATGATGGGAAATTTGGGAGTAATGGAACAAAATCAATGTGTGCAGTGGACTCAAATCATGGCGAAATATGGGAACTTGCACCTGCTGACCATTGCAAACAGGTTTTTTATAACAATATCACCAACAAGTGTACGCTAGCCACAGCGCAGTGGGTACTGTTTACTCCTCAAGTGAACAAATTATTAAGCTTAAGGGCCCATTAGGGTGAATTAAATTATGGGAAAGGACTACATGGACAAATATAATTGTTTCTCCAAACTAGTGTACACATCCTAAAGAGATTGTGCAGTTCCAGAAAATATCTATCACTCCCCCCACATGTACCAAAGGGATTGGAATTTCCTGGGGGTGAGGGTTCTCTAAGACCAAAACATTTAAAGAAATGCATCAAGCTTAATTGGAATTTCCAGAGGGGTGGGGGGTCTTTGAAAAAATCCCTTCTGTGAGGGAAGTTATATAGATCTTTTCTGGAACTACACATTAATATTGCTAAAGCTTGACTTACCAGTATGTATGGGATATCGACCAGTCATAATAGCACTGCGTGTNATAAGATGTAAAAAAGCTAAGTATCAACCTAAGTACTGTCCTAAGTACAAAATGTAAGCTAAACCATTTCTTGAATCAGTGCTGTTCTCAGACAAACTGGAGTGCTAATCTCAGATGAACACTAAAGGACAAGAAATATTGTAGCTATGTAAAAATTTGAACATGATAACATTTATATATTAAAAAAAGCAAACTCGATTATATAGAGCATTTTCATATAAAAGCCATTAATACAGAAGAATTCATTTTTCAAAGGAGAAAAATTTCATTATTTAGGAACACTAATATGGTCCCTGTGAAAACATCATGAGGTCATGGTCAATCTCAGCTATGGTTTTTGCAGTCAATGGACTAAATTGCCTCTGGTCTTCACTCGGTCAATTCCTAATCACGCCACGGTGTCCAAACGCCTCCATGAGCATTTGGGTCAGCAGCTTCATCTCTGGGTTTATTTCTTGGTGGAACCATGGTCTGCTTGTAATTTTCCAACACACTCAGCAACTTTTTCATTACATCCGGGTATTTCTCTGCAACATTGTAGTACTCACAAGGATCATCTTCAATGTTGAACAGGCATGGCTTCTCTCTGCACTCCGCTGGCATGACCGGGGGCTCCCCAGAGCACTTAACGACTGCATTCTTCAGGGGTGTATTACCAAAGGACCTACTGGACTCTACAAGTCCAGGAGGACGATACCAACCACTTAGTGCAGTACCTAATAAAATAAAGACAAATGAGAAATGAGGTGTGGTGGAGTAGTACTTACATTGTGACTTATTTTCGTAGGAACTTAATTTCCTGAAAATAGAATGGGTGTATTTTGCAGGATTTAAATTTTATTTTTTGGTCAAAAAAAAAATGTTACCAGAGATCCAAATTTCACTAAAGTTCTCAAGATACTGATCTTCATCAACAAACAGTTAGTCTCAGTGTATTGGCACAACTGATTTTAATTTTCCATAGCTGCAATAGTTTCCAATGACTCTGAACAAAACTATATATCAAAGCGAAACTGAAAACATTTTGACATGTTCCTTTGCAACAAAGCAGCTCAGCTATACAGAGTACATGACAACGTCAATTTGCACCTACAGCTGAAGGACAATGTATAACTTTCTTCAAATGGATCAGCGGATGATAAGTTTCACAAAAATAAGTAACAGTAAGGAAGCTTATGTGCTGTCCTTTGGACCCAGAGGTCTGGGTTCAAGCATGTAAGCTAAGTTATACACTCCAGTATGGAAAAAATAATAAAACAAAAAAAACGAACATAAAACACTCAGTAACCGGCTGTGACAGAATTACTGAATTGAAGGTGAACATTACTTGTATTTATCAATTTCCACTGCTGAAAACGAAGCGCAGCATTGTTGCCATCGATATTGATTAATATTTCGGAGCGAGGATTCTGTTCTCCATGAGCCAGGGTGGGCCACATGTCGAAACCATCCAGATTTTTCAGCTTGGTAGTGTTCCCTCCTGCCAGCTTGTAGAGTGTTGGGACCCAGTCTGTAGCGTGCATCATGTCCATGCTTACTCGGCCTTTGGTACCCAGCAAGGGACTGTGAACTAGCGCCACACCGCGCACTCCACCTAAAGAGAAACAGAGAGAGGTATTAGGGGAAATAGGTAAGCCCCTAGGCTGGACAAATCACTGTCAAATATCTTTGAGAGGCAAATTTCGTCATCAATACCCATAAATGACCACTATTCTGCCTCAGTGTGAAAGAACATTTGAAATACACTTGTTACTCCCTCAATGGTACATCCCTCGCAAAGATTTCGCTGTTGGCCCATCCAGTTATGCAATACAGTTGAAATATCCTTCACACATGGGTGGTAGTTATTAATGACTGAAAAATTGTATTCATTTGATTTCACAGTTTCAAAGTATGGGATCAAGTAAGGCTTCTCTAGTCAGTTAATAAATTTGGCTCAGTTGAATGCGCTTTGTAATGTTGTGTTCTTGCTCTCTTTAAAGCTAGTTTACACTTTGAAACCCATCCTCGGAGACCCAGGGGCTGCCAGTCAGGACGATGCAATATTTTCGGGGGAGCGATATTTGCGGGTGAGTGATATTTTTGGGCAAAAGTTTACTTCAAGAGCAGATAAGCCCCTGGGCACTTATTCTTACCAAACCAGTTCCAGAAGTGTTTGAATTCTGTCCTGCTGATTGGCCAGAAAAATATTTTTTTGGAAATCACGTACATTAGCGTATATTAGAAATTGCGTACACTAGCAATATAAATTTACCATATACCTTCGATAAGTCTGCTGTGAAAATTGATCAATGAATATTGTTCCCTTGTGTCCCTGTTACAGCTTGTGATTTCAACGGCTTCATTGAATCTTTTTTTCTGAAACTCTCCATGAGAATCGTCCCGGGCCAAGCAACTACCGGGATCAATGAGGAAAATCACTTCGTTTAAGAAGGCGACAGAGTCACCTGGCTGAACTTCCTCCCTGATTGGCCAGAAATGCCCTGGGGCTTGTCTGCTCTTGAAGAAAACTTTCACCCAAAAATATCGCTTGCCTGAAAATAATGCATCGTCCCGACTAGCAGCCCCTGGGTCTCTGAGGATGTTTGAAACCCAGCTGTATTAAGATTTAAAATGACAGCCCATAATTATTTACAGTATCAACAAAGCAAAGCACCTTCCCAAAGTGTGGTTTTCATTCCTCTCAATGGATAATTACAGGCACTGTTGCCATCAAGACCAGCCGCGGGTCCTCCATTATCAGTAGAGAAGATTATCACTGAGTTGTTGTACATGTTACGAGCTTTCAGAGCATCTACAACCTGAAATAGCACAACAAAAAATGCAGTTACGGTGCATGTTGCTCCTTGATTGGAGCAAGCATGCGAACATGGGTTTAGATTTTTAGGCTACTTGTCCAGAACAAAAAAAAAATAATCCAAATCATAACCATAAATCCCTGGTGACAGGTGAAAGTCTGCTTACGAGCCAAGTGGCTCATCATGCCGGAGCTTATCCCGGTTTCAGCAGCATGAAGCAACTAAGAATATTTCTACTCCCCCCTGGATGGGATGCTAGTCCATTGCAGGGTTAACCCCCAGCATTAAATTCGCCGGTACCCATTTATACACCTGGGTGGGGAGAGACACTGTTAGAGTTAAGTGTCTTGCCTGAGAACACAACACAATGCCCCTGGCCAGGGCTTCAACCCAGACCGCTTGCTCCGGATTCGAGCATACTAACCATGAGGCCACCTAGCCTCCCACTTTTAAACCACTACAGAATTCTCAAGTATTTCTGCTTACACTGTACCGATATTAACAAAATCCCAGGTGATACTGATCTTTAATTAGGTTACTTGTGTTAGCATAAAGCAGTACTAAACACTTTTTGACACCATGTTTTGCAATACCTTGCCTACAGATTGATCCAACACTGTTGCCATGGCAGCAAATATCCTTCTTCGTTCATCTTTAATATGTTTAAATCTGTTAATTACATCCTTTGGTGCCTGGATAGATTGATGGCTGTTGGCGTTGTGCACAGCTTGGTGAGCAAGATACATAAACATCGGCTTGGAAGTGTCATGCGCGTTAATGACATCCACAGCCTGCTCAGCAAAAAGGTCCGTTCCGTAGTGACCCCACTCATCCCGAACAGGCTAGACAGAAGAATTTAATATATAATATGTTACTTGATTATTCTCGCATTTTACTTACTTACTTTGTATGATCAATAATTAAAGAACAGATATCAAGATGAAATCATCAACATTTTTTGTTTCTTTATCATAATATATACTGCACATTGTAAAACAAATAAATGTTATGTTGCTGTGTCTGCTCAACTAACTGATCATAGAATATGTCATGAACATGGTAAGAACATCAGTGACACACTCCGCTATCACCTCGTATGCCACTTTTTTTTTCTTACCACATTTTGGTAATGGCCATCTGTGATTGATTACTGAACAGATGTATGGCAATGTAGTAAACTGACATGACTCAAAATATGGTCCAACTAAATTCTTATAGAGAAGATATGAATTTACATGCATTAAATTTTTACAAATTATTACATTTTTTAAAATCTTTTTGTTATTCAAATTTAAAGACCATGAAACAAAACTGTTACAGCTCATTGTTTCAGGCGCCAATAGTTCTTCCACTGGTTAGACATAAATAAATAACAATTGGTGACGTCACCAATATCTTTGCTACCGCAACTCTCTAACTGGGTTTTGATAATACTGATAGAATTATGTTACATGGTTTGTCATGCAGTCTGAGCAAGCATTTGATAAGAAAACAATTCCACAAAAATCTTGAATCCCTAAGTTAACTGAGATATTTGTGACTTCGTAACTACAGGTTCAAACCTAAGCATAGTTAAGATATATAGTTTTTCTCTAATCAGTAATGAGATAACTATCTTGAAAACAAGCCAGTTAAGATGGGAATGGAAAGAGTAATGGGGCTCAAAACGACTTGGGAAATGAAGGAAATCAAAATGGGGAGAATCAAGTACACCACTGGAAAATGATATAAACTTTTTGTACCGTGGTGTTGTTGCGAAGGTCCAACCCCCAGAAGCCCTCTTCAGCTTGGGAATGGTCCCAGTAGTCATTTTTACCACTCCAAAATCCAAAGAAGGAATCAAAGCCTCTGCTGGTTGGAATGTAGGCACTCTTGAAAAACCCGAGATGCCACTGAAAGTAGACAAGAGCTGCATGTTAACTGATACTCTTAAGGAACTGAAGTGCAAAGTAGCCTTGACTCTTTTAGAGCTGCTTTTGAATATGGGCTCAAATACAAGTCATTAAATATTCACCTTTGTGACATTAATAAATCAATTAATTAATTAATTAACTACCTTCAATGAACAGTGACTAGGAAATTGCCTGACATCGATTGTCAATATAGTTTTCAGTTTTGTGTTGTTGAGAATAGAGTTCAAAAAGAGACTTGCACATACATGTGGGCCAGTTTAATTTATCAAGTGTCACCACAATCTGCGTCAATATTTTACCTTTCCAATAGCATGTGTTTGATAGCCTTGCTCTTTCAGATACTGAGGTAGAAACACCTCATCAAGACCAACTCCATATGGTAGAGCAGCAAAAATCACTGAATGTTGCATACCTTAAAAGCCAAAACAAAAAGGCACATGACAAGGTGTAGTTGTCATTCTGGGCCCTTGGCCATATGATGGGAAATTTGGGAGTAATGGAACAAAATCAATGTGTGCAGTGGACTCAAATCATGGCGAAATATGGGAACTTGCACCTGCTGACCATTGCAAACAGGTTTTTTATAACAATATCACCAACAAGTGTACGCTAGCCACAGCGCAGTGGGTACTGTTTACTCCTCAAGTGAACAAATTATTAAGCTTAAGGGCCCATTAGGGTGAATTAAATTATGGGAAAGGACTACATGGACAAATATAATTGTTTCTCCAAACTAGTGTACACATCCTAAAGAGATTGTGCAGTTCCAGAAAATATCTATCACTCCCCCCACATGTACCAAAGGGATTGGAATTTCCTGGGGGTGAGGGTTCTCTAAGACCAAAACATTTAAAGAAATGCATCAAGCTTAATTGGAATTTCCAGAGGGGTGGGGGGTCTTTGAAAAAATCCCTTCTGTGAGGGAAGTTATATAGATCTTTTCTGGAACTACACATTAATATTGCTAAAGCTTGACTTACCAGTATGTATGGGATATCGACCAGTCATAATAGCACTGCGTGTGGGTGAACAAACTGGCAGCACATAGTAATTGTTCAGAATAACTCCACTATTTGCCAGATCATCAATATTAGGAGTTGGAATTTGGTCTGAACCATGAAAACTCACATCATCCCAGCCCTACAATGAACATGAACCATTATAAATTACTATAGAGTACCATGTTGAAATAACGACTGAGTAGGCTTGAATGGCCTCATTTTATATGGTTGTTTATACAAGCAGTAGAGTTAAATATGTATCTGTTGATTAAGCAATGTTCCAAAATAATTTTAATCTAAATTACATGCCTGTACATGTATGACCCGAGTTGAATTCAATATGTTTTGAAAGAGTGTGGGTGTGTGAAGGGCTACGGGAGGGGGTTAACAAGGGCTGTGAGTTACTTTAACATAAATATTGAAGACATAAGTCTCTATAATTTAAAGTTTGAATAATTGTACAAAGAAATAAGCAACTTCATGAATGAATGAATGAATGAATGACTGATGACTGATTGATTGATTGATTGATTGATTAATTGATAGATTGGTGGAAGAGGAAATGGACTGGAATGTCAGAGACTCGGAGTTTCAATCGTTTTTCATTGACATATACACACCGTGAAGATGTAGAAGGATATCAGTTTTCCTCTATATTGCACATGTCACATTTTTCAAATTTGGTCTGCTTTGAAACGAGTTATAACTTGAGTAGAAATAACAACTGCAGAACTTGTAAGTTGAAAGAAAGTAAACAATAACTACTGTACATAATCTAATGAAACTACATACGCACACACACATATCTTCTTTAATTTTTACCTACAAATAGACAGAGATTAAAATGGTGCTTACCAAATCATCCGCCAGTATGAAGATAATATGAGGTCTTGAGCTCGATGCATGTGCAGTAAAACTCAAGACTGACAATATCTGCAGACCTGCAAACAGAAGTCGGTCCATTGCTTGGAAACTGCAGGAAAAGGTGCAGCTCTTTCGAGGTTCCTGTGGAGACAGATAACGGCAAACTTTCGACAGATGTGAACAGCAGCTTTCTAAACCAGTTTGCCAAAAGATGTAAAGCTCAAAATACCGATCACTTGAAAAATGGACAAAAGAAGTTGTTGTCGGATCTAGTTACCAGCTCGCCGATAATTATTAGTCACGCGACGTTCTGTTTTGTCGGGGTGGGGACAGAGCTAAAAAGAACTCCCGTTCCTGCAATTTTGAAAATAGTCGTTCTCAAAGTGGGCTTTAAAAGCGAAACCCCTATCATCTGCAAGGTTTACATCCTTGGTTTTCAAGCTACTCATTGTGGAAATTGCAGGGAGAAATGACCCGTAACTCTTTCTTTCCCGTGGGTACACAGCACAAATATACATTAGTTTGCACACAGCTTCCGGTACGTTCTGCAGCATCATTTGTCATGTGACAACCCTGTGATATACTTTTGTTCGTCCTCGAAGACGGTTTTGTAAACAAAACCTTTATTGTCTGCCTGGTTTACACCCTTGGTTTTCGAGTTTTCTATTGCAGAATTTGTTGGGAGAAAGGTCTCCTTAATATTTCCTACTCGTGGGTACACTGCACAAATATATACACTACTTTGAACACAAGTAACTTCCGGTGCGTCGTGCGTGATCATGTGACAATCCTGTGATGTACTTTTCACAAAAGTGCTTGTTATGTTGTGCCACACAGGTCACACATGAACAAGACGAAGTGGTCGTGAAGTGGCCCTGCACTCTGCAGTTTTAGTCAAACTACCGTCAGTTCGTGTTTTTGAGGGAGAGTTTGACAGATACTGTATTCATCCAGAAAATAATTCCGGTGCGAACCGAATACGGGACTTCTAAGCACGGGATATTCAATCAGTTGCAGCCGTGTTCTTCTAGCAGTTTGACTGCTTTGGACTTGGAAAGTATAAACTAGCATCTTTGGAGTAAAGCGAGGTTGAAAAGCAGCAAGATCTACATGTATCAGAACTCTATTTAATATGCGTTTCTTAATTCAAGCAGTCCTAGATTACTTCGACAAGTAGGCAAGAACGAGCAGAACTAAAGATGAAAAAGTTGTGTCAGTCACGTCACACCCGTTTTATTTTTTGGGGGGGGGGGAGGGGCACGAGGGGGGCAGGGTGCAACTTGCTTTTTTATTTATTTATTTATTTATTTATTTATTTATTTATTTATTTATTTATTTATTTATTTATATATATATTTAGTTGGTTATTTATTTAATTTACCAACAAAGCTTTTTGTAGCATAAATTTACACATAATACAATCAAAATATATCAACTACAACAGCAACAAGAAGCTTTATTTCCCCCATTTGGTCCTATTTACATTATTAGTTATTTAAAAAGAGAGAGTGGGAAACAGAACAAAACAAAAACCAAACAGAAACAGAGACCAACAACTTAACACACAGTACAGATTCAAGTTTTGTGACCACATTGTAATTTTTAAACTACTAAGTGTATATATAGAATTTTCAATAAAAAAGGACCCTAAGTACATGTACAAATGTAAGCTAACCATTTCTTGAATCAGTGCTATTCTCAGACAAACTGAGGTGCCAATCTCAGGCGAACACTAAAGCACAAGAAATATCGTAGCTATATAAAAAACATTTACTTATAAAAAAAAAAAAATCTCTTGTAAAAAGCATTTTCATAAAAGCCATAAATACAAAAGAATTCATTTTTCAAAGGAGAACAATTTCATTGTTTAGGAACACCAATATGGCCCTGAGGAAACTTCCTGAAGTCATAGTCACTCTCAGCTGATGTTTTTGTAATGTGAACTAAATCAGCTCTGGCTTTCATTTGGTCAATTCCTAATCACGCCATGGTGTCCAAACTCCTCCATGAGCATTTGGGTCAGCAGCTTCATCTATGGGTTTATATCTTGGTGGAACCATGGACTTTTTGTACTTTTCCAATATGCTCAGCAACTTTTTCATTACATCCGGGTATTTCTCTGCAACATTGTAGTACTCACACGGATCATCTTCAATGTTGAACAGGCATGGCTTCTCTCTGCACTCCGCTGGCGTGACCGGGGGCTCCCCAGAGCAATTAACTATTGCATTCTTTAGAGTTGTGTTGCTGAAAGACCTGCTGGAGTCTGTAAGTCCTGGACGAGGATACCAACCACTGCGAGCAGTACCTGTTAAAATAAAAACAAAGGAATTAAAAATATTATTTAAGAGGTGTGGTGGTGTCTGCTTAGCTAATGCATCATCACTTGGTTCAAGAGGTATGGGTTCAAGCATTAGTCAGGGTCACAGGGGGGATTTTCGGGGGTTGAATTGTGTGGCTAGCCACGCCCCTTTTGGAGAAGCAAAATATAGAAAAAAAACTGAACAAGATTGTGGATATTATGGCAGAAATAAAGGCAAACTCTCTAGACACTGTAATTTTGTAATTTCTACTTTGTGGCATTGCAAGTATTTCTGGTAATAAATAAATATGAAACATAAATAGTTTTCAATTAGGTTCCAATTCACAAATTGCAACATTTTGGGAACATGCAACCCCAAGGTACTGTACCAGCCAACCTCTCTTGAAAAATCCTGGATCTACCCCGGGGACACCTACCAGTTTGACATAGAAGATGTGAACTTCACCATGGAATAAACAAAAATTCTGACTGACTAAAACATACACAATCACTTATGACAGAATTAGTTAACTGAGGGTGTCAGCCTTACTAGCACTTGTATTTATTAATTTCCACTGCTGAAAACGAAGTGCAGCGTTATTGTTATCAATGTTGATTAATATTTCGGAGCGAGGATTCTGTTCTCCACGACCCAGGGTAGGCCACATGTCAAAACCATCCAGATTTTCCAGCTTGCTAGTGTTCCCTCCTGCCAGCCCGTAGAGCGTTGGGACCCAGTCTGTAGCGTGCATCATGTCCATGCTTACTCGACCTTTGGTGCCCAACAAGGGACTGTGAACTAGCGCCACACCGCGCACTCCACCTGAAGAAGACAGGAATCAGGGAAATATCAGTATTAAGCTCCTACGGACAGATCATTGGTGAAACATATTTCAGTGGCAAATTTTGTCATCCATATCTTTAGAAATGAGTGCTATTCTGCCCTGAAAAGTTTGAAATAATTTTTATAATACTACAGTTTAGTTGATGGTTGGAGACCCAGCTGTAAAGATCTAATATAACATCGTGCAATTATTTATGTTATCAACTAAACAAACCACCTTCCCAAAGTGTTGTTTTCATTCCTCTCAGTGGATAATTACAAGCACTGTTGCCATCAAGACCGGCTGCAGGTCCTCCATTATCAGTAGAGAAGATTATCACCGAGTTGTTGTACATGTTACGAGCTTTCAGAGCGTCTACAACCTGAAATAGGAATGTGACAAGAAATGCAATTACATTCCTCCTCCTTTAGATTTTAGATTTTTAGGCTACACATGTCCAGAACAAAAAAACAAATATCCAAATTGTCAATCATAAACCCCTGATTAGTAATACATCTAGGTGATAAATCCTTAATTACCTTATTATAGGAAATTAACAATGCTTGAAATTAATGCAAATTCATTTCAAAAATTCGCGTTAATTTTATGTATCTCAATTTACCTCACTGTTAATTAAAATGATGTTAATCGAAAGCATCATTATTTTAAGACACCTTTATTATCAGCAAAGCAACTTGGCTGGAAGTAAAGGCAATGTTTCTACATGATATAGTGTCCACTATAGTTGTAGATGAAATTCCTGATGAACTTATTCTAAACGTTGACCAAACACCATCAAAGTTTGCTCCGACAGATAACGTTACAATGGCAGAGAAGAGTTCAAAGCATGTATCCAGTATAGGAAGAGGCGCATTCCAACCCTGGACCCATTCATGCCCTAATTTGTAGGGCCACGTTGTGTTTTTTGCTGGAAATACATGTAAAGAGCAAGTTTTGTTGTTGGACGTTGTTGTTTTCTAACGAAATAAGTGTGAAAAATATCAAATTCGCATCTTAATTCTGCAAACGTACCACACGGAAATTTGCATTAATAAAAAGTATGTAAACACGAGTTTTCGAAAATTCACGTTAATTTTCCAACACGTAAATTTTGTTCGCGTTGTTAACATGCTTCATTATATCCCCATAATAAGGTAGGTTGCTTGTGTTAGCATAAGGCATACATGTAACTTAACACTTTTTTATAACATGTTTCTCAATACCTTGCCTACAGATTGATCCAACACTGTTGCCATGGCAGCAAATATCCTTCTTCGTTCATCCTCAATATGAGAAAATTTTGCTATAACATCTTTCGGTGCCTGGATAGATTGATCGCTATTGGCGTTGTGCACAGCTTGATGAGCAAGATACATAAACATGGGCTTGGAAGTGTCATGCACGTTAATGATATCCACAGCCTGCTCGCCAAAAAGGTCCGTTCCGTAGTGACCCCATTCATCCCAAACAGGCTAGAAAGGAGAATTTAATATATTAATATGCCATTTGATTATTCTTGCATTTTTGACGGGTGCTAATACTTATGATCAATCAGAGTACAGATACTAAGATGACATCATTAACATTGTTTGTTTCTTTATCATATAATAATAAATATACTGCACATTGTAAAACAAATAGATGTTATGTTGCTGTGTCTGCTCAGTAATTGATCACTGACAGAATATGTCTTGTGGTAACAACATCAGTGACACACTCAGCTATCACGTACCTCGTGTGCCACTGTTTTTTTCTTACCACATTTTGGTATTGACAATCTGTGATTAATTACTGAACAAATGAATGGCAACAAGGGTAACTGACTCAAAATATGGTCCAACTAAATTCATGAATTTATAATTTTGATATAGAGAAGATATGCATTTATAGGTATTTATGACACTTTTTTTTTTTTAATTCTTGATCTTTTGTTACTCCAATTTAAAGACCATCAAACAAGCCAATAGCTCATTGTTTCAGGTGCAAATAGTTCTCCGGTTTAAAGACATTAAAATAACAATTGGTGATGTCACTGATAGCTTTGCTATAACTCTCTGGGTTTTGATATTACTGATAAAAATGTTAGTTAATGCCATGCGGTCTGAAAAAAACACTGGTAGCAAGACATTATTCCTGGAAAATCTTGAATTCCTTCAAATTATATAGGCTTGCCACAAGTCAACCTTTCTTAATCCTTCGCTTAGCTATCTCCCTTGAGCAAACCGGGAGGGTAATCTAAAAGCAATGAAGTTGCGAGTGCAAGCAACATATGCTGAAAAAGGTCCAACAGTGAAACCAACAGGCTAGGGAAGAATTATTGGAAAGAACTTTTAGAAAGTCTAACTACTAAATTAACTGAGATTGTGCCTTTGTAACAACAGGTTCAAGCCTAAGCATAGGGACTTTCAGATATATAGTTCTTCTCTAATGAAACAACTATCTTGAAAAGAAGCCAATTAAGGTGGAAAGGAAGGAGTGCCGGGGCTCAAAAAGACTGGGGAAATGAAGGAAGTCAAAATGGGGAGTATCAAGCAAACCACTGGAAAATGATGTAAACTTTTATTTATACCGTGGTGTTGTTGCGAAGGTCCAACCCCCAGAAGCCGTCTTCAGCTTGGGAATGGTCCCAGTAGTCAGTTTTGCCGCTCCAAAATCCAAAGAACGAATCAAAGCCTCTGCTGGTTGGAATGTAGGCACTCTTGAAAAACCCGAGATGCCACTGAAAGGAGACAAGAGTTTTATGTTAACTGATGTTCTAAGGAACTGATTCAGAAGTGCAAAGTAGGCTTGACTCTTAAGCTTCTCTCGAATATGGACTCTGAAATACGCCAAATATTCACCTTTGTGACGTAAATAAACTAATAGATTAATTGATTACCTTTAATGAACAGTGTAAAGGAAATAGCCTGGCATTGATTTTTAAATAAATATGGTTCCATTTTTGTGTTGTTGAGAATTGAGTTAAAAAAGCGACTTAATTTGTATGATTGTGCATTCGGGCCAGTTTTAATCAAGTGTCACCACAATCACCATGTCTCAAACAGGGATTGACAGTGTTGTAGAGATTGAGAGTAGGAATACAAAAGAGACCTCAGTCTGTACCTACATGTGGGCCAGAAAACAACCGTCATCATAATCAATACTTTTCTTTACCTTTCCAATAGCGTGTGTTTGGTAGCCTTGCTCTTTCAGATACTGAGGCAGAAACACCTCATCGAGACCAACTCCATATGGTAGGGCAGCAGAAATCACTGAATGTTGCATACCTTAAAAACCAAAACAAAAAGGCATGCAACAAAGGTGTAGGCTGGTGTCATTTTTAAATGGACCCTCGGCCATATGATGGGAAAAGTGTGTGGTCAGGACCCAAATCATGGCAAAATGTGGGAACTTGTGCCTGCTAACAATTGCAAACAGGTTTTACTATTGTATGCTATCCACAGCAGAGTGGGTACCGTTTACCCTTCAGGTGAACAATCAAGGGCCCATTTGGGTGAATTAAATTCTGGGAAAGGACTTTGATGGACAAATATAATTGTTTCTCCAAACTAGTGGACATGTCCTAAAGGGATTGTGCAGTTCCAGAAAATATCCATATTTCCCCCACATGTACTGAAGGGATTGGAATTTCCTGGGGGGTAGGGGTTCTCTAACACCAAAACATTTTAAAGACTGAAATGCATCATGCTTTTAAAATTGGAATTTCCAGAGGGGAGGGGGTGGGGGACCGTGGTAAAAATCCCTTCCATGAGGTAGGTAATTAGAAATTTTCTGGTACTATGCATTAACACTGCTTAAGCTTGACTTACCAGTATGTATTGGATATCGCCCAGTCATAATAGCACTGCGTGTAGGTGAGCAAACTGGCAGCACATAGTAATTGTTCAGAATAACTCCACTATTTGCCAGATCATCAATATTAGGAGTTGGAATTTGGTCTGAGCCATGAAAACTCACATCATCCCAGCCCTATA